ATGCTTTGGTTTTTGTCTTTTTCTATTCTAGTCTAAGTAGGTTGCAACATATTTAGTTTATTTTGTTCTATTGGTTTAAGACAAGGCCCTGGGCTTAATTTGGCAATGCTAAATGACTTCTCTTATAATGTTTTAATACTTCGTACAGTGTTAGATCATCAACCTAGTCTGTTTTCTTTGATAATTCTTGAGTTTGTATTATAGCCTATATGGCCTTGAATCTTACATTAACTGTGCTTACTATGTCTAACATCTTTTGTTATTTTTTGATGATGCCAAAAGGGGGAAGATAAAGTTGGGGGTGTTGTATATATGTTGGTGTGAATATGTCTGCATGTGGTGTGATGTGCCTGTTGATCATGATTTGTTGTGATTACCTGGTTCTAGTATGTACAAAGTTTGTCATCATCAAAAAGGGGAAATTTGTTGAGTATTGAGATTTTGATGATTAACAAAGTTTGTTCAGATGCAAATGTTCGAAGAACCAGGTCCTCAGCGTAGCTGCTTAACTGCTCTAAGAACCAGCTCCTCAGGGTAAAGGACCAGCTCCTTATGGTTGATGATGGACCGTCTTTGCAAGATAGTAACTTTATCTCAAAGTTACCCATGTCCGAGTTTGGTGGAAGAAGGTTGTTACACATGATAAGGGATGTTGCCCAAGAAGAAACGAATAAATAGGTGAGAGGCAAGAGTCCCAGGACTTGTGGAGTCCTTAGAACAATAGGAGTCCTATCAAACGAGAAGCTGACTACGCATATGACTTCTAGAAGATCTTGGAGTCCAGGCATTTAAATACTATCCATCTGGACTGTTGAGATATTATTTTGCACATCAACTGAAAAACTACATTTTACACACTCTAGACGAGTATCAGTGTTTTGTTCTTCTTGAGTCAGTCCAGTGAATGTGTTTTAGGAAATAGAGTTGTAATCAAAGTGTCATAAATAATTAGTAAGTTGAAGTGAGTGTTTGCTTTACAGGTTAGTGTAACTTATAAATCAAATAGTTGTAGTAGGAGTACGGGAGAGTATTGAGTTATAGTCTTATAATCGATACATTTTGGCTCATTGTTCTAGTGGAGTTGAAGTTGAAAATCCTATGCAGTGGGTCGTAGTTTTTGTACTTTTGAGCCGAGTGATTTTTCACGTAAAATTGTTGTCTTTTACTTTACTGTTTATTTTACTTCATGAAGTACGGTAAAGAATTAAGTTCTTTATTACAACCTCCATTTTAGTTTATGTGAACCTATTTCCTTTTTGGTCTGTTCCAACAAGAATGACCTCTTTCTAAATTTGAAAACAATATTGCTTAAACTTACAATTCTATCCTTAATGAGAAGTTTTTATAACGACACAAATACTCTGAGTCCCTTTTTGAATTGTTTAGGACCACAAATTCTAAAAGTCTTCATTTTTTCTTAAACTCCGTGCCCAATCAAACAGGTTCACATAAATTGAAACAGATGGACTAATTCATAAGAGCACTCAAATTAACAGGTGCACTATTTGAGTTAATTCACTCTGATGTATAGAGACCTTCCCATACTCTTTCTTTATTGAGTTATAATAATTTTGTAGCTTTTTTGATTCTTTCTCTCGTTTTACTGCTGTTTATCCATCCATATCCAAGAATGATGTTAGTCTTATCCTTCTTTGTATCAAAAAACTGTTAAAACTCTTGTAGTAATAGTCCACGAACCTCTACAAATTGTGTTAAGAATAAGTTAGTCTTATGCAGTTAAGCTTACGCCAGCTATGGTCAATTTTGACTATGTCAATATAAATGAATGCCACTATTTTAAATGAAAAACCAAGATAAGTGGCATTGCTTGTCCTTGTTGCACCCATTTTTTAAAAATTCGTCAAACATCTCTACTTCTGTCTTTTTCATTCTCTCTCTCCTGCATAGTGGCGTCGAAGTACTTTAAAGGGCGCGTATTGATATTTCTTTATTGAACAGTTAAGCCAACAGTTATATGGCTTTAGTCATAAAGATTTGTTAGGCCTCATGATGAAGATGAGCTGATTGAAGTCTAGAAAAGAAAACAATGGTATATATCTCCCTGCTCCCACAAACCTATAGGTCATAGTCATGTCTTATTCCTGGTCTATGAAATTAATAAAAGGAAAATAAAACATGATCACAGTTTACGTGACATTTTTTATATTTGGAGATATTTCAAAATACTTGACACATTACATCAAAAAAATTATTTTATACAACTTTCTTAACTTAAAAAATATTTCAAATTCAGTTGACTATTCAAATTTTAAATTTTGATATGATATTTTAATTTAATTTAACTACTCAAATTTTAAACCTTGATATGATATTTTCTCTATCAAACAAACATACTTTAATACCCCTCTATTCATTTTATATTGTATTGTTTCGTTATTGGTATGTTCCAAAGGAATGGCATTTTCTATATCTTAAGCCAATTTAATTTTAAATTCTTATTTTATCGTTAATGATATTCTCTTATAAACAGAAAAACCTATTTAATATTCAAGATCATAAGTTTAAAAAATTATTCTTCTTTTCTTACACTCCATGGCAACAAACTAATGCCACATAAATTGAAATAAAGGGAATAATTTTTTAAACTAACTCCTCAATTATTGCTTTAATATATATTGTAAGTGAAATAATAGTGGGTTGCTCTAGTGGTGAGCACCCTCCAGAGAGGTTGTGAGATCGAGTCACCCCAAGAGCAAAGTGGAGAGTTCTTGGAGGGAGAGAGGCGAGGGTCTATCGGAAACAGCCTCTCTACCCCAGGGTAGGGGTAAGGTCTGCGTACACACTAACCTCTCCACACCCCACTAGTGAGATTATACTGGGTTGTTGTTGTTGTAAGTGAAATAATAGTACTATATGAGTCAACGTAACATCTCAAACTCATAAAAATAGTACAGGCTAGCCAGTTTTCGGACTGGTAATTCAAAATAGCCAGCGTTTGCTAAGTCATTGAAAAATAGCCACTATTTTACTGCAACACGGACCGGTCCAGTATAATATACTGGAGATTTGTGCATCTGTGTATGAACTTTCCAGCATATTATGCTGGAACTCCAACACGCGAAAAGTTCCAGCATAATATACTGGAGATTGGAGTACCTGTGTATGAACTTCCAGCATATTATGCTGGAACTCCAACACGCGAAAAGTTCCAGCATAATATACTGGAGATTGGAGTACCTGTGTATGAACTTCCAGCATATTATGCTGGATCGATATATTATACTGAAACTCCAGTATATTATGCTGGAGTTATACTGGAACTCCAGTATATTATGCTGGAATATTTTTCGGATTTTGAACAGTGTTTTTGTTCACATTTATCTTTTCATGAAAAGTAGCTAAAATTCAATTACTTTTGAAATTGTGGCTATTTTTCAATTACCACTTATAAATCTGGCTATTTTTGAATTTCTCCCCTCAAACTCGTGATTGTTCAAAAAAAAAAGGAAGGGGTAGTATTTGTTTCTTTTTTCCTAATTAAGTGTATCATGCTGATTGCTGGGAAGTTTAGAAACACAAAATATTTATTTGCAAACTTCTTCATGATTTGTTTTTCGTAATGAATACATGAAAAATTCATTTAAAATGCATACTACGTGTAATATAATCTAAGTATCTATTTAATTCACAACTATTCTTCTCCCTCAATTATGAACTTGACACATTTTAACACTTGAAAAGTTTGAAAAATAGTATTTCAGTTAAAACATATTTACTAAAAGAGATAGTTATTGTTTTATATCTACTAATTATTTTTAAGTTGTACACCTTTTGTTCTTTAGTCCGTAAATTATCATACTATATTATATATTATAAGTATGAATATCTAAAGGGAAAGTTAAAAGACCAAAATACCCATTAAAAGTTAAATGGCCATTTTGCCCTTCAATCAAATATTACTCCTATAATGTTACTGTATACGTAAAGTAATTACACATTTATATTTTGTTTCTTTCATCTTCCATGTTAATAGCCTTTCTATAGCTTCTTACATTCTTTACTGGATTATAAATTTTCTTACTTATTACTGATTGTTTGGATCTTTCATCTTCTACTGAAGTAATAATAATTTTCTTGCACAACTTTTCACATTCTTTAAAGTATTCTATAAAAGTGCAAAATAAGGTGTCTAAAAAATTTATATATAGTACAGTAAAATAAATTAAATGCATCAAAGAAAGATGTCTTTCTCTTCAAAAAATAATATTTTTAGTGGTTTTTTCTTCTACCAAACAACTCGTATTCTATCAAAAACTTTCTAATAGAGAACAAGAAGCGTAGATTAACAACAAGAGGATTATTTGTAGTTTTCTCTTCTGACTTCTAATTTTTTTAAGTAAGTGTCACTTTATCGTTTTTATATAAAAGAATTTTAAATTCTTCTCCAAGTCGCTATGCCTTCTATTTCTACGTGGTTATACAGAGGTGGTCGTTTTATATTTCATATTAATTTTTCTTTGTTACTTCCAACGAGTATTCATGAAACTGTACAAGTATTTTTTCCTGAGATATATCATCATCCATGTTAGAACTGGTAACGATAAATGGTGATATTCAAATTAAAGTTTACTGTGCAAGTATCTTCTTATTTATATAGACTCATATATGTTAGAACCGGTAATTACAGCAGATAAAGTTTGAAGTCTATTCTAACTTGAGGTCTTATTACTTCCACAATATTTACTTACAAATTGTATTTTTCTAAGAAGAGTTTTAAAATAAAAATGATATTAGTGCAAAAAAGCATGTAAAAAGTCACAAGCATGTTAAGCTTATATGGAAAACTTTCAGGACTGTACAGAATACCTTTAAATTATCATCTTTTACTCAAATAGGCTAATTATTCATCAAATTGAGCTTGTAATTTTTCCGTTTTATAATTTGTATTACTCATTATACACATACTTTAATATATTATTTTAAATAAATCTGTGCAACGCACATGTAGAGAAACTAGTATTATAAAAATCCATACCATAGAAATTAAAGGGGTTTAAGTGTATATTGGCAACAAAACACTGAAAACAAAGTAGACATTCTATTAAGAAACAAGAGTAGCTAGCTAGTTACAGGACACGTGATAGTGGTGCATAGGCAAGGGAAACAACATGTTATAGAAGCGACTACGTACTTAATTCACGATAGAAACTTGAATCCCTCTAGGAAGACATGAACCTTTGAAACCATCGTGTAAGCCAATCTCATCTTTACCCAAACAAAGCTTGATAATCACAATCTCTTTCTCTTTGAGTTTGTCCATGTCAACCATCTGCAAGCTCGTTTGAAAAATGTCTTTTAGCCATTCATCAAACAAGCTGTTGAGAAATGAACCACACCCCTCAAAAACCTTCTCCAACACCATTTCCTCCAAGCAGAAACTGTCTAGTATTTTACTCCCACAGACTTCCTCCAATGACCTTCTCATCTTGAACATGAACACCTCTCTCATTTGCTTTTCTTGAGATGAATCGCGGTTCAAGACAAGACGGTTCTTGATGTGGTCGAGAAAGCCAAGTGGTGGATTGTTGTTGTCGTTGTTGTGATGTTGATCATTAGCTGTGTCGCGAGTCAAGTCACTTGAAATGGGGCTAAAATCATCAGTTCTGGCTTCGTTTTCATCCTCCTCATCGACCTCGTCTGCTTTGATGTTGAGGTCAAGGGCGTTTGAGCTCAATTGCCTAGTGAATTCCTTCTTCATTTTCCCATTTCGAGCAGTAATTGAGGAGACATCTTCCATCATATCGTTTCTTGGACTCTTGGTCTTGTTAGGCAAAGACAATTCCCACTCAGCTAATTTTCTCTTATGATCAATACATACTGATCCAGGATTCTCACTTACCAGCAGTTTCATCTGGATAACAGACTCTGTGTTTCCATCAGTGAGATTATCACTTGTCCTTGCTAAGATGAACAAATGGCTAGAGCTCCCATTTTCAAAGGCATCCACAAGAAATTTCAACAACTCTGAATCAGCAAAATCAACATCTTCCACCAGGACAACAAGCTTTTCATTATTCCTTAAGGACTTGTTGAGCAATTCAACGTGATGATTCGTATTTTCCCTCTTTCTCATGTTTATGCACAGGATCAAGTCAGCAGAACCAAATACAGATTTTGCTATAACTCGAGCCAATCTTTGTTTCCCGATTGAGTCATTCCCCTGAATCAGCAGCCAATTCTTGATTGTGCTGAAATCCATCAATACATCCAAAATAGTATGCATGTTTTCCATTTGCCATGGCAAATTTTCTTGTAACATTTTGAGCATCTCTTCTCCCAAAGTACTCCCGGTGTTAGAAAGCTTTGAATTCCCAAGAGCAAGCGTGATTTTCACTTCTTTCCCTTCGCTGATTTTAAGAGAATCCAAGTTTGGCTCAACTGATTGATTTTCTTTAGAGTTGCCATTGCTGAAACTGAACTCGATATGGCACGATTGTTGTCTTCTAAATCTTGGCACAGTGCTGGCTCCCTGATTAGGCTTCAAACTTGGAGGATCACAAAATGAAATTGATTTGCACTCTGTGATTATGCTGTTCTGGTTAGGCCACCATGGGTACAGTGAATTGAAGGAGTAATTCTTCCCACTGCTGTTGTATTCATTGCACAAAACTGAACTTATTTGACTTTGATTAGTCTTTCCTTGATGAAGATTTTGGCACAAGCTGCTCCACTTTCTTTTCAACTCAGCCAAATCATCCTGAAAGTCCCCCATAAAAAGAAAAAAGAAAACAATAAGATATTGTATTCAAAGTAATTAAAAAAAGAACTAACACTACGTATTTTATTTTATTACGATTTAAAGAGTTCAACATGCTTCCCTTAGAGCTCAATTTTTAAAATATTGTTAATTTTTTATTTATAAAATTATGATTTAAAACATGTTTTAGGTAATTAGTTTCTATATACATAAAACTGTATTTGAAAAATCACTAAAGCAACATGTGAGTCAATGATATTAGTACAAAAATTAATATGCTTTAGTCCTCGTAGTCAGAATTCTGTCATTATTTCTTGTATTAAAGTGGAATTATTGTAGGCTAATTGTTAGGATCTGTACCTTCTTAGTGGTATCAATGTCATGTGGTTTGAGCCAATCAGGCAATGGGGATGGACCCTTGTCAGAATCCTTAGTGTCACATGTAATAGAATACAATGCACAAGTTTTCTGCTGGCCACAATTCAACCTAGCTTCTCTTTCATAATTGGAGCTGCATTCTGCACAACAGCTGAGTGCATCTTCTTCCTCCTTGCTAGGAACTGGCTTTTTCTCAAATATTTGTTGAGAGAATGGTATTCTTGGTTCATGACCACTGCAAAAACAGGAAAATATATAGTTGTTTAAAATATATAGATTTCATGGTGTTCCTATTTATCCTATGATTGTTGTTGTGATACTAATATTATCTCCTTTATGTCATTTTGTCTTTTTATTTTTTTTGAGCCGAGGGTCTTTCGGAAACAGCCTCTCTACTCTTTCGGGTAGGAGTAAGGTCTGCGTACACACTACCCTCCCCAGACCCCATTAGTGGAATTTTACTTGGTTGTTGTTGTTGTTGTTTAATTAACACTTCAATTTTTCCAGCTATAAGAAGAAAGCAACTAATTTATCTAGAATTAAAACCACATAACTTGTATAGATTAACAATGTAAATAGATTTTTTTTCATTTCAAGTTTACCTAAATAGTAATTATGCGTAATTGGAATAAATAAGTGATTTTACTAAAATGAAAAAGAAAAGAAGGAATGAATTAACTAAGTGCATGACAAAGTTGTGTAGTATTTGAATAATGGAGGACTCCATCATAAAAATTAGTGTCACTTCTTTAAGCTGCTTTACCATATGAAAAAGAAGTCAAAAAAGGAATATAATTCCCTTGAAACCTGAAAAAGGCTACCACCAATACTACAAACATGCTTGGGACAAAAACCCATATACTGCAACATCACCTGCTAAACACTGAATAAAGGTACTAATTATTTATCGTTTTTTGGTATTTCTTTTCTTTCCTTTTTCCCTTTTCACCGTATGAGTTAAAAAATTGCAGCATATCCAGAAAAAAGAAGAGAAGAATGCAACAAATTCAAAAGATGTCCATTTAACATTTGTCTTCTTAGCATTGCTTTTTGGCAATAGCACGCTTCTAAGTCCTGCTAGCTTTGTTCAGCGTTCAGACCATGAAAATTCAATAGAAAGAAAGAAAAAAAAAAAGGACACAAAGCAAAACGCAGACCTTAACGTCTTAAGGACAAAGAAAGGACACTAAAAAGAGCTCCAAGAACGAACCAAATGTAGTGCATTCTCAAACTTGAAAAGTACACTGTATATTATACTCCTTCTTTATATATATATATGATATAGTTTTACTAGGCACGAATATTACAAAAAAAAGGAATTTTTTTGGAAATTTGTAGTTTTAATAGGTCATAATGCTTGTGTTACTATATAAGATTTTTGAAACTCCTGGACTTAAATATGTCGTCATATCAAAAAGCTTATAAATAATTTAAAGTTAATTATTTTCAAATATAAAAATACACTGATTTTTTTTAAACAGATTAATAAGGAAATAGTATCAAACAAATTGAAGCTGAGAGAGTATAGTGTATGATTATCAAGGAAGAAGCATGTATGAAGAAGACAAAAAATTAAAAATAAAGGAAAATGCTAGCTCACCTTGTACAATTGAGACTAAAGCCAAGACCACCAGATGGAACAGAAATAGGTTGAAGAGACCACTGAATATCAAGAGGAGGTTGTTTCATTTGGCACTTGATATAAGTCTGATAATTTGCTGTAGCCACCAACCAAACCTTTGCATTTGAGCTGCTGTTGTTGTAGGAAGAAACTAGCCTTCCTATCTCAGCTACAAGATGATCAACTGGACTATAGTAATTAACAACAGTAGTAGAGTAATCTTTCTTAGACATTGATAANGAGTAATCTTTGTTAGACATTGATAATCCTCCTCTTTGATCAGCAAGACTGTCAACTGTCCATTTCAAGTCACCTGTGTAGATAATGACTCCTCTTCTACTACTTCCTGTAAGAGATTCCACTTTCCTTTTCAGGTCTGAGATATTCAGCTCCACTTCCTCTCTTTTCATCAACATGAGTGGTGCTGCTGTGAACTGAAATTTTATAAAGTGTGATCCTTTCAGTTCCTCAGGTACATCTCCTCTCTCCACTTTCCCCATCAGTTCTGCAACAAGCCCTCCTGTGCTGGACGCGCTGTCACCAACTATCACTGCGTTCCTCCTCTTGTTGTTGTTACTCCTCAGCAACACATCAATAACCAACTTAATATCTACAGAAGCTGTATTAATTTGGTTGTACTTGTGAGGGGAAAAGAGAAGAGGGTTTTGGGAATTATTCCAAAAACTATTACTAGTAGGGTTCTCAGAATTAGGAGGAGAGCTAGGTGTAGAGTAAATCCCAGCAGGGCTACTATTGTAACACTGAAAGACTGAAGAAACAGAAGAAGCTGATTCCTCTATATTGCTTTTAATTGCAGTGCTAAAGAAACCAGCTTCTCTCATAACCCTACTAACACTAGGGTCATCTAAAATGGACAAAATGAGCTGCTCTAACTCAACCTTAATAGCCAAAAGAGGCTGCTGCTGCTGCTGTTGTTCTATGCAGCCTCTTCTCTGATGAGCTTGTGCTCTTTTGAGTGCAGCAATTAAAGCATTAGACAAACAAGGCTGGCCATGAAGAAGTGGACCAGGACTTGTTGGAAGCCTATTAAGTGCCACATTAAAACATAGCTCAAGAGCTCTACACTGAAGAGGATGATGATGATGAGGAGAAGTGGCTATATGATTTGGTTGTGATTTGAGACAAGCCCTTCTAAGAAGACTGACTCTTGAGGTTAAGAGAATGGCAGCAACATGAAGAGGGGTGACTTGTGCATGGCCCCTTCTCCTGGCCAAGCTTAGAGAATGCTTCAAAACTGAAGCAGCCTCTGTGGTGAGGGTCTGTTGCACTGCACAATTAGATGCTCCTGTTCGCATAACTTAGCCCCAACACCCACCCCCCCACACCCCCCCTGGTATTTCACACCGTAACCTATTTTGAGGACTGAAAATTCACTTTCTTTCTATATACCCCCTCTCCTGCTAACACCACCACCCCCTCTCCTAAAAACTTTCTTTTGTTTCCTCTCTCTCGCTCGCTCTTTGTTTCTTGTTACTTCTTGTTACTTCTTCTTCTTGTTAAGAAGAAGTATATATGCTCACAATCTTGGAACTACTAGCTTTGAGCTTTGTTTCTTTTTTTTTTCTTTTCCTTTGAAGTGAGAAAGATAAGAGAAGGCTACAAGGGTTTTAAAGAAGCCAAGACAGATCATATCTTGTTCCAGAGGTTTTAGCTTTTTTACTTTATTCCTTTATCTAAAGACAGTTTAGTTAGGAGTATTATTCTGCAAATGCTTAATTCTTTTGATTTTATGTATTTGACCAGACACAAAATTTAAGTAAATATTTAAAAATTTCAGTCCTAAACATATAATGATATTTTTATGTCGATAAATCATGTTATTAAGAATATTTTTTTAAAAAAAAATTTATATTGATTGTAAATTAAAAAAATTCACTCTTTTTCAATAGATTAAAAAGGAAATTAAAATATCACATAAATGGAGTAGTTGGTAATTGTATTTTCTTATTTCTATTTTCAATCCTTAGACCAATTTCCTTTTTTGAAGTTCTACTTTTGCTACTTTTTCTTTCAACAGTTGTTAGTTCTAACCTTTATGACAGAATGGACTGTACTGTTTCTAAAGATAATTAGCATGAAAGGGTACTTTTGTTTAATCATTTTTTGCATGGGTATGGGGAACTGTGTCAAGTAATTCTATGCAGCAAGATACTTATGGCTATTTAATACTAATAAGCTACATTTATCAGAGAATTTGATATTCACAACACGAAAAGCTGCAGAAATAGAAAACAAGGATTCGATCTCTATATATATATGTGCATGCTTTCTCTCTACCAAGAATGATACTATAATAAATAAAATCTTCAAGATATACATGGGGTTTAATTTCACCTCGTAATTTAATGGAAACGGTAACTTTAGAAAAATGTCTTGAAGTGGGAGCCTCTTTCAAACACTACTTATTCTTTGAGTTCTTTAATTAAGGAAAATCTTTTTTTTTTCTTCTCCATGAGCCTTTGAAAGAGGAGAAAGATTAGAAAGAGAGAGAGAGACAGAAGGCCAGGCAGAAATTCAAATAAAGTAGCAAAGTTGAAAAGGTAGGAAACAAAGAGGAAGAGGAGGCAAAGGCAGAGTATGTGATGAGTGATAAAGGAGAAAGTGATGATTTTTTGCCTTTTTCATGTTTATCATTTGTTTCCTTGCATATAAATGAATAAAAGTGACTATCAATATTAGAAATATTTGTTTAAGGAAAAGAAAGAGAGAGAAAGAGAGATGTCACGCCAATCCTCGTAGAGAGACAGCGTTTTATTCCCCAAGTACCCAAAAAGCAACCCTCTGTCTGCTATCCTACCTTAGCATTATTGCCCTCTTTTTCAGCCTCTGTCTCTCTCTCTATGTGCTTTGCATGACTGATGAGCCTCTCTTGTATTAATCCTATTTTATCTTCAACAACCCACTAAAAAGACCTCTTTTATTAATCAGAAGGGCAATTAATACATATCTTTAACTGCGGAGACATCTTGTGATAGTGTACTTATTTCTTTTGTTTTAGTAATAAGAACCTGTCTTTCAAAAAAATACACACGCATATATCACGCATATATATATATATATATGAATTACGAACTTAAACTTACAAGAAAGTGTATATGGTAAAATCGGTTCACATTAAATATTCGAATGATAAAATGACATGTGAAATCGGGGACAGACAGAAGACGAAGCAAGTGGAAACCAAGACCGAGGACAACAACTTCGGTTGGCATCGGGTAGACCCCGAAAGGGGACATTGTTAACGAGGGCAAACGAATATTTGCTACCAGATGACATTCAATGAAGAATATTTCTTGGTATTGAATACATGCCCATTACAGAGAATTTTGGCATTCATTACCTGTCGTTACATATTCATCAATGACACCCATTATTGTCATTTAAAAGGGGCTTGATCCTAGGACCTTGTTCTCTAGGTTTAGCTATAAATAGTGACTTCAACAACCATTGTAACACACGAAAATTCTGACAAACTTACGCTACACATTTGTTTTACCCGAAAAACGGATATAGTTAAATTTGTACGTAGTTCTAAGGATACATGATATAGCTTGATACAAATCGTAAGGATGAATAGAAATATCAAATATGGATTACAAAGAATGCAAAATAAACAAGATTGGGAAGAAGATGATGGTTTAAACTAAGCAAAATGAATCATTTAACAAAGCCTCCAAGAATAGTTCTTGAATATAGAAGAATGTGGTGCTTGAATTATAATGTAAACAAAAACTTGCCTTACAGAAATAATAAACATCCCCCTTATAGTAGAGGGACCTTACTTTAGATATAATTAAAAATACATAATGGGAGACCCATGATAAATCAGTTTTTCCATAATTCTTGCCAAGATTCTCTCCTCTACTGGGATTTGCAACGGCTCTTGTTTGTAAGCTCGATATTGACTCAAGTTTTCGGTCTCGACTCGAGCTCTCGATCTTGACTTGAGCTCGATTCTGACTCGGATCCTTGCATTGGTTCGAGGTCACGGTTGGTCGGTCTTCTGAATCATAAGCTCGATAACTTTACTTTGTATCATAGCTCGATTTGGATTCGAGCTTGATAATGATATCGAGCTCGACATTGATCGGTCCATCGGGCTCGAAGGTTGTTTATACCATCTTCGGAACCCATTTTGAAGTCTTACTCTGATCTATTACATTTTGACCTCGACCGATCGTACGAAGGCCGAAATCTATTTCGACCGTATACAGATAGTCCCCTCGTTTCTCGGGAAGGATGTGGTGAGAAAAGATATGATTTTTTAATGGCTCGATCAGATTATAAGATGACGTTTATATTGGGTTCGACCATGACGTTCGTGATAGTTGTCCCGTCAATTTAGTCTTTCAAAGCATTTAATGCTTGTCAGGCGATGGTCGACCACCGCTGATACTGAAGCGCCATTGCTTTAATCTATAAATAGCCCTCCCTTTTATCATTTACCACTTTTACATCTTCAATCTTCCAAATTACTTAAGTTCTTTTTCGTTCTCTCTGAGTTTATTCGCAAATCTGTGATTCTTCTTTGCAAGATTCTTCTTCTAAACCACCAAATCTTTGTTACCCTTTTCAAATCCAAAATGGTGAAGACATAAAAAATCGTCCCCCAAAAAGACAAAGCTTATTCTTCCCAATCCGCCGCCGACAAAACACCGGTGGATCCACGGCCTGAGGAGTGTGTTCCAGCGACATGTGTTCTTACCTCCGATTTCAAACTCGATAAAGGTTCGCCGGTCCCTGGCCGATGTGAGCCTGTATCAAGATATAATTGTTCGATAACTCGGGAGCACATCGAGTGGATAAAAAAGGATTGTAACTGGGAGAACAAAGAAGTGGTAGTGCCGTCTCCCGAAGAGGATATTACTACTCACGTGAGAGGGCTTTTAAGCGTGTATACTTACCCTTTCATGTCGACCCCATTATCATAGATTTTTGCCGCAAATACCTAATAACCCTAGGCCAGATACATCCTTCCTTTTGGCGGATCGTTATTTTGATCCGATATTTTGTGAATAAAATCGAGGGTATGTCTTTCAGCCTCTATCACCTTGTCCGATTATACCGTCCTCGCCTTTTCCGAGAAGGGTTAATAAAACTCCAACGTCGAGCTATCAAGGCTCTGTTCTCGAGTATAGACGAGGATAAGGATCGAGGCTGGATGGACAGATATGAAGTACTTGAGCGCTAGTAAGAAAGTTGATATACGCTAATTATATTATTTTAAGTGCAGACAAGGGCTATTATAAGAATGATATCAACTTATCTTGATAATATATGTATGAAGTGCACTAAGAATGGTTTATGGTCTAAGAAGATCCCCAAGGCTAAGGCAAGTTGAAAATTTCATGATAGAATAAAGTTTCAAGTGAGTTCGCACAAGACCTAACTTCAAACGATCATACCTCTCTTGATATGAAGATTTATATGGTGTATTACCTATCAAATTAAATCCCTTTGAGTCTAGTTTCCAACGCTTCAAACCGTTTGTCATTTGGATATTCCTACAAGAGGTTATGACCAAATTACAAAAGGCTGAAAAACATGCGATTCTGCGACCAATTCTGCGATCGCAGAACCATTATGCGATCGCAGAAGTAGTTATGCGATCGCAAAATGGTCGCAGACCTGTCCAGTGAAGCCCAGTTCCGGGCACTAAATTGTGCGACCATTATGCGACCCACACACCAATTGTGCGGTCCATTGTGCGACCGCATAGTTGAGTTCGGAGGGTCAATTTTTCTATTTTTATAACCCGACCCCATTTTGATAAATAGGCTTTGGAGCTTATTTTGGGGTATTTTTCTGAGGGTTTTAGAGAGAGGTAAGAGCATTTTAGAGAGAGAAGGAGGGAACCTAACATTATAATCATCCAATCTTGCACTAATCTTCAAGAATCAAGGAAGCTAATCATAAGATCTTCATCTAAGAGGTAAGATTCAAACCCTTATTATTCAATTTCGAGTTTGGGGTAAAAGATTGGTGATTGGGAGTATGATTCTTGGGTGTAAGAGTATTATGTATATATGATTGTACCAATAAGGTTTGTGGGAAGATTGTTGAGCTTAAATAAGTAAAGATTGAGTTATAGAGTGAAGGAAATCTTGTAGAAGAACCTTGTAGTTACATTTGCACACCTAGTGTTTGATAAAATGCTCAAACGAGCTGAGACCATGAATATCTTCCTAATTATGGTTCAATTTTGTTATGTCTCAAAATAGATTGGAATTGCTAGAATTTTCGGAACGTTGTAGTAATTTAAAGAAAGCTCAAAGCGAGGTATGTTGGCTAAACTTCTTTCATAGAATTGAATTCCATGATGCTCTTGTAAGTCCCGAGTTATTCTTTATAAATCAATTATTCCAAATAAGCTTTGTGTTGAAAGGTATATATTCAAAATGTATTTCGGATACTCTTATCATATGATGTTATCCTTCGAGAATGTGTTCAAAGCATGAGTTGGGTATAAAAATATTATGACTCCAAGTAGCGTTTGAAGTGAATGATATTATGCCAAATTGTGTAAGAAGTCTCAATGTACATAAGACTCTTATTTGCTCATAGGTGTATTAAAAGTCGTGATTTGAGATTCTTTGTTGTCGATAATTTATAAAGATGCTTGAAAGTAAAAGTGG